AACATAGTTTTCAGATGCTTTCGATATCCGCCTCCTTCTTTTTTGTTAACGACTAGGATAGGCACAACTTACTTCCAGATCCGAGAGATAGAACCACTCGCAGGCTACACATGATCACCCGAACCAGAAGCAGACGCACAAACAGCGCGTAAGGGCTCCGGTTCAGAGGTCAAAGTGAATCAATTATCCCCCTTTCTAAAATAGCACATTTGCCTAGTGTTTGGACAGATCCACCCATACAGACTACCGAAAACTTAATGCTAGTGACCATCCATTCACTTTTCCTACTCCCAACTGTAGAGCTGTATTTATATACAAAATTCTTCGTGCGACAAAACTAGCTTCGGTCATTCATATGTTCAGCTTGATACACATCCAGAAGTTAACGAGCATGGACTCACCTTTGCAGCCTGCGTTGTTTTGCTTCACTGACTTGGTTACCATAGCGATAACAGATGTAGACCAAATGGCTGTATACAAGCGTCTCAGCATACGGCGACCCCAAGGGCAGACGCCGAGTGTTTGTCTTAACATAGCGATTGCCCGTTGCAAGCTGAAACTCCTCCATTTTCGCCTGCAACTCCGCAAAGGAGGCAAAAGAGAGACTGTGGAAAATGCGCAAAAAGTCCGCCGTGGAGTCCTGCACTGTAGCAGTGGCGGTACCGTCATTTTCAACAGTGCAAGAGGGTGGCGGTGAGAGGGGAGGAGGAAGGGGCGGGAGGGTTTGGGAGTGAGTAGGAGGAGGCACCTCTACCATGGGGTCCATGTGAGCGGGATGATTGTGCTGCATATCGTAATGACGAACGAAGAGCTTGTGTTTCCGAGTGCCAACGGAGAAGTAGGCTTGACAGTGAGTTCCACCGGCTCTAGAAGTGGCAAGAAGGAAAGGCTTGGTTTGATAAAATATAGCCATCATATCCTGTACGTCGTGAAATTCGCATACTTAATTGGCCATAGTCAAAACCCCTTACATGGTAAGAATACCATTGAAAAGGCGCAGAAGACATAAATCACATACCCCTGCCGACACCCATACAATAGCCAAGCTACATATTGAAATGCCCTTCTGCCCAACGTCTATTGAGGTATCTCTACAAAGGACGTAGAGAAAGGCGCCGTCACTGTTGTGAGGATGTAATCATAGGAAAGGTGCGAGTTGTCCTGCTATCGCATGCATTGAATGTCTTAATGCTTCCAATGGTTACAAAAGATGTCTCAGCATCGAATTTTGATTAAATTTGTAGAGGCATGCCAATATCCAAGCATAGCAAAGCACATACACGAATAAATTTGACAATGAGGATATCGCTGAGTTATATACTTGCCTCCTCTAACTTAGAACAACCAAATTTTACTTGTTAGACCTAGAGGTACCAAAGACGCAGAAACCTCTGATCATGTGCAACGTTAGCCACAGAGAATGGTACCAATTAATGAAATTATCTATTTAAATCTGCATCAATTTTGGAGGAAGTTGCTGAAACTTCTA